GATGTTATACTAGGTACAAGGATGTCATAGTGGCTAGGAGGTTAAGACACTCACTTCTCATGCATGAGGGTGCGGGTTCCAAACCAACCAACGGCAAGTACTGATGTGACTTTTTCCGAGTTATATGTACTTTCTAAGATTATCTAGACACCATTGACAAACGGTAAAGGAAAACATTATGAGAAAACCTGGAGTTTTTTCTAATTATAAGATTGAAATTACCAACCCGTAATGAGCCAGTGTGGTGATTAATGCTCAAAACTTCTCGGTGTGAGAAGAGGCTTGTCTCAGCAGTGGGCACTTATTGGCTGTTGATGATGATGACACTAAGGGACAAATGTCCTGATGGATGAAGTAGTGAGACGTTGCCGGACTTTGGTCGACGATCAACGTCGCTGTGGACATAAGTCGCGTTGTCGCCATATACATATGTACATAGGTGAAATCGGCCGGCTTCGCTTGACATGTCGCCGATACTTGTAAATAAAAGTCGCCGAATGCCAATGGAAAGATACTTGCGTAGATTGTTATTAATACAACGACCCGTGACGTAACTTTCAGACTATAGATCTGCCCTACAACAAGAATTTACCATTATCTTCACACTATAATTATGGGAGAGCCATGCTTCGGCACGAATGGGAAAGCAGAAGTTAAACAACGCTTGCGTTGCGTTGCGTTGCGTGTGTGCGGTTACAGGAGGCCCAATTATCCCCCGCTACCCAATCTCCGAAACCCCAAAAATCCTCAAATTCCTAATCTCCTATAAGCCGGTAACGCATTTATAACGCCTCTGGTGTTCCTAGTGTCCATGGGCGAGGCCGATTGCTTACCATCAGGTGATCCGTCTGCTCGTTTACCGGCTTTTCCCATAAAATAGACTTAGCAGGCGGGTTTCGCAGTTTGAGAGCTTCTAGTTTAACAGAGAACTCTATTGTACGGTCTGTCTTCGTAGTCCCTTTGTAACAGTACTCGTACTAGCATCACTATTGTAGACACAACGAAATACAATTTAGTTAGTAACACGTTAACAGTTGCAAAATCAATAATTACGTCGCGCTGTCTCAGCGCGCCAGTCGTTAACTGGAACCGGTTTAAAAATAAAACAAGTGGAGAAAATCGATCGGCAGCTTTTCTATGAATTTAGCGATAGAGAGAAAAACTAATTTACTTCGAATCATTTAAAATGTTTCTCGTTTGGAATGTAATCGTAAGAAATGCTACTGTCGTATATAATGCAAAAACAAAGAGTCTCGAATTCGATTACCATGTTGAACGTGATTTTCGTAGTCACAAGCACTTGTAACGCCTCTGGTGTTCCAGGTGTCCATGGGCGACGCCAATTGCTTACCATCAGGGGATCTGTCTGCTCGTTCACCGGCTTAACATATAAATAAATTGTTAGAAAAGAAACAAAGTTTTATGTTATTAGTCAAATTATCTTCAGTTTACCAATAACATTGATAAAAAGATCTTCAACTCAATTATGAAACACTGGCAGCCCGTCCCGGCTTCGCACGGGGTAGACAATTATTTATTTTTGGAAATTTGCATTGTTGTAGTGACATAACTACAATAGTTGGACATATGCTATCGCGGAGTTTTTTGTAGACATTATGATGTTCTTCAATATTGTTGTACATTATTTTGTTCTATAGCTAATAGTTTCGGTAGAGCATTCGACGAAAGACATTTTAAGACTCATTTTTCTACACCTTCGGTTACATTGTTAAAATTTTACCAAGGATCCCTAATTTTTTTCAAAATGAAATGTAGCCTATGTCAAATTGGAAGAAGGTAGCATTCTATTGGTAAAAGAATTTTTTAAATCGGCCCAGTACTTTTTGAACCTATTCATTACAAACATACAAAAATAAGTACAAATCTTTCCTCTTTGTAATATTAGTATAGATTATCTCATTCTCTACCTAATATTTTGAGAAGATTACAATTCCACATCGTTATACAAACATATACATTATTATCTGTACAGAATTTCTCGTACAAACAAATATCGTCAAACAATCAGTTGTGCCCTTAACAATCGAGGCCATGATTAAACCTGCTGGGCGCACAGTCACACACAATATTCCGACATAACTCATGAGGGTTGGGATGTAACGAGCGTAAACTGTGTTCCAATAATGTTATTTGCGAGTAGCATACAAATCACCAATAAGTGAGTCGTGGTGGCACGGAGGTTTAACGCCCGCTTCTCATGCATAAGAGTGCAGGTTCACCTACCAACAGCGAGTACCAATGTGACTGTATCCGAGTTATTTGCTCTTTCTGAGTGTGGGAGTCATGCTTCGGCCGGAGGCCCAATTACCCCCTTCCCCAGTCTCCCCAATCCCCCACAGTCCTCAAACTCCTAATTCTCAAAAGGCCGGTAACGAACTGGTAACACCTCTGGTGTTTCGGGTGTCTATGGGTGACGCCGATTGCTTACCATCAGGTGATCCGTCTGCCCTTACACCGGCTTATCTCATAAAAAAAAATCACCAATAAGCGAGTCGTGGTGGCCCGGTGGTTTAACGCCCGCTTCTCATGCATATGAGTGCGGGTTCACCTACCAACAGTAAGTACCAATGTGATTGTATCCGAGTTATTTGCTCTTTCTAAGATTATTTAGACACTACTGACAAACGGTGAAGGAAAACATCGTGGGGAAACCTGACCTTACTTACAATTTTATAATTTTGAAATCCAACCCACATTGATCAAGACTACCCAAAGCAAGCAAACCCATGACGATAAATTAAAAATTTCGTGCAGCACCTATCTTGAATTTGATTTCCTCAGCACTATCAGTTTCAGCACCCTCGAAAACTATGAATACGACCACCCATGACTACTCAATGTAGAACTCCTCGTATCGCCAATACTACTATTGCAGGCCGTCTCAAATTGAAAATCCGTTCAGCTGCCGTGCCGTATCGCAAAACAGCCCTTCTCATTTACACCTGCTTGTTCTATTACTTTATCAATGTCTTTGATGATATTATTCATAATAGGTAATGTGATTAATTCTGCATCATTTTTGCATAAACCAAATTCTGTAAATTTTATCTTAATGACCAGTCATTAAAATGCCTCGTTGGCCGAGTGGTCGCAAGTGCGACTGCCGGGCAAGGGTCTCGGGTTCGATTCGTTTCGGTTCGAAAGTACTAGGTTTTAAAAAAATTCTCAGTGGTAACACGGAGTCTGGAATTGTGCCCGGTATGTGGCAATAGGCTCACCCCCTATTACATGGACGTAACATAAATAGTGAAAAGTGGGTGTTGCATTGTACAGTGGCATTAAGTGCCGTAATGTGCATCTCTGCCAACAGCTTCGAGGATAAAAGGCGTGATGTTATGTTATTATGACCACTCATTATGAATAATATCGAATTAATCACTTTGGCTGTAACATATACACTGTACACCAACCCCAACCCCTAACCAAGTCAAGTTAGTAACGTTGATACCCCGGGGTAAACGATTTGTGAGTAATTAATAATCTGTCGATACCAGCCGCTCAATTGTAAGTTCATACAACTCGATCCCTGTAATCAAGTGTTATAGTTAACGTCATTACGATTTTGGATTTCAATTTTGATCCTTAAACGGACAGGATTTTCACAATTTCACATTATCAGCATATAGCGTGTCATTTTTTTAGATATAGATTTAAGTACTAAGCTTCGATTTATGTTTAGTGTCTCGACATAGTTTTGATATTTACGCCACGCTCACCAGTGACCGAGGCTTTTTTTTTTAAGTGGTGAAAATCATCGAATGCCTGCTCCCGCCTACCAGTGATCGAGGTTAGCAGAGGATTAGCCTACAATAGTTTTCCTTTGGTAGCCAAAGACTTAACATGAAAGTCTATATAGTTAGTGAAATTCACTATATTTCGCGCAGCGAGACCAATTATTCATCTAAGGCGATACAATCACGGTAATATTATCATACAGTATTGT